ACCACTTCCCCAGGCTATCCCCCACTCCTGTAGAGCCCAGGCCCTGGAATGCTCTGGGAAACACTCTACCCTCGGGCTACAACCCCAACACAAGTGTCTTTTTTCTCTATTTCCATGGCAGCCTGCTTTTACCCCAAAAATAGTACTTACCACGTGGCTCCAACATCCTACAATTTAGCATTAGAGGTTTTAAATATCACAAGTAGTCCTGAAACTCCAGGACATGTAGTAATTTGCCAGTCCATTGAGGCATGAAATAGAATTGCTACTTCTGGGATTGGAGCCACTGAGCCGGTGAGAAGCCTGACTGCCCAGGATCCACATTGATACATGGTGTTTTTTCATGCTGGCAACAAAGCTAAGAAATTTGTATATGAACCCCATTTTACAGATGAAGAATTGATAAGAATACAAATTGGGAATTGAAGGACCCAGAGATTTTAATTGACTGTTGCATTATTTGTGACCCAACCATCATGGAGGAAAAGACAGTCTTTAATCTTAGAACCACAGTGCCATAGGACTGGGCAGTAGGTAGGTGCTAAGTAAATCGTTTCCTGGTTCATGAGAAGAGTGCTAAGAATTCTGCCTTCACTTTCTGAGAAGGAATCTCCTGAGGTCATGGCCTTAAAGTGTTTCTCATTGAACTCCCAGCTTCTAGAGCAGCACCCAGATCATACAAGTAAAGTACTTAGCTATCTCACTCCATGGCAATTTTTTTTTTTAATGCAGGATGGCATGACTAACCCCAGAATGGCCTCAAACTCCATCTTCCTGCCTGAACCTCCCAAATTCTGGGAATACAGATTTGATCCACCATAGCTGGCATTACGCTTTAGGTTTTCTATGAAGGCCTCAGAATAGGAAAATAGTATACAGAAATATAAATGCAGCCAATTATACTCATAATTCATAATTGTTTTCAGCTTTTAACTTTTAAAATAACTTGACCAACAGCTGCCATGATTATTATAGGAAGTCTTGGCTTTTATATATTATGAGAAGGGAAATCTATATTTTCTTAGGGTGTTGATCATCACTAAAATATGACTGGAACACATATTTCATGAAATTCTGTTTGGTTACATTCTCCCTGTTAAAATAAAGTAAAATAATATTCAGTTCCTTGATTATTTCAGATGAATACTTTATTCCATAGATTGAAAAAATTGAAGCAAAGACAAATACAATCGGAGAATTTTTTTTAATTATTTCTTTATTATGTGTACAATATTCTGTCTGTGTGTCTGCCTGCAGGCCAGAAGAGGGCATACAGATCACATTTCAGATGGTTGTGAGCCACCATGTGGTTGCTGGTAATTGAACTCAGGACCTTTGGAAGAGCAGGCAATGCTCTTAACCACTGAGCCATCTTTCCAGCCCAATCGGAGAATTTTTTTTCCATATGTTTTATATGATTAATGTCTTGCTTTGTAGCCCTGGCTAGTCTGGTATTGACTACATAGACCTGATTGGCCTAAAACTCATGGTGATCCTTCTACACCAGCCTCCCAAGTACTAAGATTACAGGCACAAATCACTACTCCCAGTTTGAGAAAAAAACTTTTTAATGTAGCCTAGTTGTCATGGACTCACTCTGTAGACAGGTTGGCCTCAACTCAGAGAGATCTATCTGCCTCTGCCTCCTGAATGCTAAAGGCATCAGATCCAGAAGCCCATAAGAAAGATGAAGGAGCTGAAATAAAACTTAAGGCCCAAAAATCAAAGCAGAAAATTCCCCAAATCTACAGGGAAAATATAGACATCCAAATACAAGAGCCATTGAGAACACTGAATAGACGTGATCAAAGAAGACTCTCTCTGTAACTTATTATAGTCAAAATGTCAAAATGCAAAGAAATTATATTAAAAGCTGTAAGGGAAAAAATACCAAGTCACGTACAAAGGTAGAAATGTCAGAATAGCATCAGGTATCTTGTCAGCAACTCTAAAACCTAAGAAAGCATGGATGACATACCTCCAGCCGGAAAGTGACAACTGCCAACCAAGATCGCCAAATCTCATAAAGCTACATTTTAAATTTTATAGGGAAATCATAGATGAATGCAAGCACAAAGGAAGGGAATTCATTACCACTAAGCATTGCAGAATATCGTATTTAAGGGTGCAATGTGCACAGAAGAAGAACTTTCAGGTACAAGAGAATAGGAAAGAATACATTTGTAGGGGTGCAGATAGCAGAGCTAGGACTCCATTATGTCAGTACAGTCAACCAACAAATCCTTAATACTAATGGACAAGAAAGTAAAACCAAACAATAATCCAACCAACCAGAAAAACAACCACATTATGGGAGTTAGTAAACACTTCACAAAAATAATCTTGAAAATAAGTGGCCTCAATCCACCAACAAAGAGACATAGACTGACTGACTAGAACTGAAAATTATATCCTATCCTCTGTTGTCTCTAAAAAAGCATATATCACTGGTTTAAAACAAACAACTCCACAGACTAAAAGTTAATAGAAAACATTCTATCAAGCAAATAAAAACCCAAAACAAGCTGATATATCTATTCTGATATCTGAGAAGAGTTTTTTTGTTTTTGTTTGTTTTTTTAAAATATTTATTTATTTATTATGTATACAATATTCTGTCTGTGTGTATGCTCGAAGGCCAGAAGAGGGCACCAGACCCCATTACAGATGGTTGTGAGCCACCATGTGGTTGCTGGGAATTGAACTCAGGACCTTTGGAAGAGCAGGCAATGCTCTTAACCTCTGAGCCATCTCTCCAGCCCCCTGAGAAGAGTTTTGAACCAAAAAGAAGAGATGAAAAAGACCATTACAAGTTTTTTGAGTTGTTTGTTTGTTTGTTTGTTTGTTTGTTTGAGACGGGGTTTCCCTGTATAACAGTTCTTCCTCTCCTGGAACTCACTTTATAGACCAGGCTGGCCTTGAACTCACAGAGTTCCACCTGCCTCTGTCTCCAAAGTGCTGGGATTAAAGATGTGTGCCACCACACCTAGCTAAATCCACTACATGTTAATAAAGGAAAAATTTATCAAGAAGATATAGCAATTGCAAACATACCCCTAATTAGCATAGATGCAAAAATGCTCAACAAATTTTTTTTATAATGTTTATTTATTTATTTTTGTAGATTTATTTATTATGTATACAGCATGCCAGAAGAGGGCACCAGATCTCATTCTAGATGGCTGTGAGCCACCATGTGGTTGCTGGGAATTGAACTCAGGACCTCTGGAAGAGCAGTCAGTGCTCTTAACCTCTGAGCCATCTCTCCAGCCCCTCAACAAATTTTTTTGCAAATCAAACTCCAGAAGACATCCTGGCCAAGTGAGTTTCATTACAGGGATGCAAGTTTGGTTCAACATATGCAAATCAATATGCATTTTTATAAATAGATTTGAGAGCAGAGATTGCATGAACATCATAATCAACACAGAAACGCTCTCAACATCTCTTCAAGATGAAAAGCCTCAAAGAACTAGGAATTAAGTTATCTATTAAACTAAGCATGCCAAAAGCACACCTGTTCATCATTTTAAAACTGTGAGCTTATGCTCTTGACCTTCATGTAAGCACAACTAGAAATGTGTCTACTATCTTTCTTTCTTGAACTTTACAGTGAATTTGCTGAAAAATGTCTTTAACCGTTCCTGCTCAGGAATGACCCCAGCCATAAAGTATTTTCCTGTATGGGTGTGTTTTGGTTTTCTGGATAAAATCTCCATGCTCCCTTTGTTCAAAGAGGGCATTGTTTTGGAAATAACTCCATGTGGCCCTTGCCTGCTGCAGGTCTTTCTCTAGTCTTTGATGTCTTGGCCATACTTGTTTTGGCATTACATGAGCCAAGATGCAGACTCAGTGTGGGATTACAGGGTGACCTGGGAGCGCTGCAGACTGGCTTAGTGGTCAAGAGCAAAGATGCTCTTTCAGAAGATCCAGGTCTCAGCACCCACGTGGCAGCCTGCAACATCTGTTGTAACTCGAGTTCCAGGGGACCAGACATCCTCGATTGTCTTCTGCAGGTACCAGACATGAAAGTGGTACTAGACACACATGTAGAAACATAAATAAAATACGCACAAAATAATTTTTGTTTTAGAAAAATTTTAAGAATGATGCAGGTGAGATGAGAGAAGCAGTGAACCAAGTCACAGAAGGCCTTGTGGGCTCTTCTGAGGGAGTTCAGTGGGAAGTCACTGGATGGCCTTGTGTGCCTCCCAAGCCCAGTATTAAAGGCGGGCACCACATTTTCCCATACTCTGTTTCTTGAGACAGGGTCTATCACCAACCCCTGAGCTTGCTAGTTTAGTTTATTTGCATAGCAAGCAAACCCCGTAGGGAATCTCCCTGTCTCCTCACTGGAGCTGAAATTATAGGCACACACACTGCTGCAGCAGGTGTTTCTTTATGGAAGTGTGTTGTGAAAATGAACTCACACCCTCCTGTTTGCACAACACCAAGCAAGCTATCTCTTCAGCCTTGGAAATGTGTTGATTCTATAAAGTGAGTTTGTTTGGCTTTTAAGATTACAGAATTCTAGGATGACAAGTTGACCCAATAGGTAAACAACTATGTCTGCCTGCTTGTGTTTATTATTATTATTATTTAGTTTTATGTGTATGGCTGTTTTGACTACACTTATATCTGTATACCATTTATGTTCCTGATGTCCACAGAGACTAGAAGAAAGCATTGGAAACCCCTGGAATGGGAATTACAGATATTTGTGAGCTGCCATGTAGGTGCTAGGAATCAAACCGAGATCCTCTATAAAGCAGTCAGTGAGCATTAACCATTGGGCTGGGACTTTAGCACATATTACCAAACTGAGCTGAGAACCTAGATGCACATTTTAACTTACACATTAATTTGAATATAAACTAAGTAATTAACAAACACCTATACTACATATTCATATTATGCAAGATTACATAAATGTTAACTTTGCAAAAATGTAGCTATATTATTCATTCAATACCTACTATTTTCACACATACCACCCTCAAAAAAATAAAGAACGCTTTATGCTTTTGCATGTCATTTTAGCACAGGGACCACGCTAATCTCTATATCGTTCCAATTTTAGTATATGTGCTCTCCCTTCGTATGAACTGCTTCATGCATCCAGGCAAGTGCACTACCACTGAGCAGCAACTCCAGGCCTAAAGGACCTTCTTCTTATCCTAATGTGCCCATCCTCAGTGTTTAGTGAAGCTTGAGACTTTTCAGGGTTCTCTTTCTACTTCTGTGATTCACAGTCGTGAGATTCCTAACGACACTAATTAAGGGACTGTGAAAAATTCATAGATGGCAAATTTAACAGGAAGCCAAAGCTCCTGAAATCTCTCACTTTTTAATCCTTCTGTGAGGCAGAGGCAGAGATTCACACCTTCTGGACAGAGCTTATACCTGGCTGCTTTTTCGTCTCTGATGGTTTGGGGAACAAATTGAAAAGAACATAAAGACGAATTTTTTTTTCTTTTCTTTTTTTTTTTTTTTTTTTGCATTCCACCCCCAGCCACGGCAGCAGCTGAGCTGTGCCTTAATTGTACCCTTCACTTCGAAGATGTTACAGATGTCTAGAGGTAGTTATTATTGCAACACAGAGAACACTAAGGAAGCATAAACCATGGTGAGATGCTTGAAAAAGCAGAATGTGAATTCAGATATGGTTTGCCATTGCTGACTGTTGTAACTTATGCTTTGTTTTATTTATTGAGTCAGGGTCTGTCTCAATAATATAGTGAAAGCTTGCTTGGAACTGTCAAGATTTCTACCTCAGTTTCCCCTGTTCTGGGATTACAGGTGTGCATGACCACACCCAGATATTGTTATTTTTTTTGTATATATTCCTGCCCAGGATTCTGAAGATATTTCTAGAACCAATTTTGTTACTATAATAAAATAGAGTAGAAATATAATCATATTTCATTTTAATATTAATTTTATGTTTATGTGCCTGAGTACATGTGCACCCCATGCATGCAGAAACTCACGTTGTCTTTTTACTTTCTTGGTATCTTTTGAAGCACAAAATCAAAATTTTTGTTTTGGGGGTATTATAAATTTCTCATTGTTTTTCACAAAAGATTAAACAACTTTTAATAATAAAACAGGTTTGTTTGGTTTTTTGCTTTGTTTGTTTTTTCAAGACAGGGTTTCTCTGTAGCTTTAAATCCTGTCCTGGACCAGGCTGGCCTTGAACTCACAGAGACCCACCTGCCTTTGCCTCCCTAGTGCTGGGATTAAAGGCGTGCGCCACCACTGCCAGGCAACAGTTGTTTAAGTCCCTTGGGAATCCAGGCATGGTGACTCATGCCTATGATCCCTGTGTTTTAGAAGCTGAAGCAGAAGTATTGCCATGAATTCAAGGCAGCCAGGGCTATTAAAATAAGCTCTAGGCGGCAGACCAAGACCCCTGAGGAGTGAGATCTTTTTCTCAAAACAAAATTATTGTGGCCGGAGAGATGACTCTGTGATCAAGAGCACAGTTTGCTCTTCCAGAAGACCTGGGTTGGAGTCCCAGCATCCACATAGTGGCTCACACTTTGTAACTCCAGGTCTCTAGGGAATTCAGCACCCTCTTCTGGTCTCCACAGGCACTTCAGGTGTGTGGTGTGCAGACATCAGGCAGGCAAAACACCCATACGTATAAAATAGAGGGAAGAAAACAAATTAATGAAATAAATGAAAAAATTTAAATCCTTGGGGACATGAAAACTAGATAATGTTTCCTAATTTACACTGAACAGTTCCATAGAATTCTATAGCAAACAGGAAAGTAATTTAGAAGTACATTCCAAGGAAAATAAGAAAAAAATTGTTAAGTAATTAAAAGGCAAAGCACTTAATGGGTATAAAATTAACTTTCATATAGTTGCTATGTAAGAATAAAAAAAAAACGTGCGATTTATTTTGACTTCTACACATACCTGTAAGTGCATATAAAGCAGATAGTTAGAGGCTATTACACGAAACACAGCTGAAGGAAAATCTGTCCCACTGAGCTGAGAGGGACGGAAAGGAAACCAGGGTTGATTGCTCGGGTTAATGGGCTGGCGTCCAGAAATGACGAATGGCTACATTAAAGAAGTTATTACCTTTATATGTTGAATGATTGCCGGTGATGTTTCAAATAATAAGAGTGGCTCTTGAAATAAAGCTTCCTGATTAATTCCTCACTCTCTTTGAAATCCTTGGTAGTTAAAACTGACTCCAATATAACTCTGGAACTTTCAAGGAAGTTCATGGGAGTGCACCGAGTTAGCAGTTTATAAATTTTCTTTATTTCACAGAGGAAAACAGGCACAGGAACTGGTTACCTCTTCTGTGGTCGTCCCGATGAAAATCTCCTGGGTTTGTTTCCTCTTTGTAAATACACTCCACCAGACTTACAGGAACGCGCAGATACTTAAAGGAGAAACAGTTCCTGGTGGGCCGGGAAGGCTGAAATTTGAGAGGGCTGGAAGGAAAGGTTGGGTCAGTAAGACAAGCAAGAAGAGAAATATGGGGTCAGAAAGTTATTCGAGCAGTCTTCTTAAAAGAATTCAGAACTTAAGCAGAATTAAACAGCCTACTTAAGCCTCAGGACCTCACACAGGCCAAGCAGCCCTGTCACTCAGCTATACCCTCCATCCACCTGGGAATTTTTATGTGCTTAAGGAAAGAATTACATTCTCAAACCTCACCTGGGCCTGCAATGGGGGACATGAAGAGATGACAAGAGCATTTGACATAGAGTGATCGTAACAAGATGCCAGGGGCTGAATACTGTAGAGTGCTTGTAACTGTCCTGGATGAGTTGAAGAAAATATTTGACCGGCATCTAAGGAAGCCGTGTGCTGGATCCATCACTGTGTCAGAATCCCCGAGAAAACAATAGAAGAGGGAGACATGTTTATTTCGGCTCAAAGGCTCAGAGCTCTGTGACTGGCTGGCTCAACTGCTTGTAAGCTTGCAGCAAGGCAAAATGTCATGTCGGACAGTCGTAGTGGGAGAAGGAGACAGCTCATGGCGGAGAGGAAGTAGGATATAACCCCCACTACCTGCCTTCACTTCCACTAGGTAGGTGCTACTTCCTATCTTCCTCCAACTCAGTAGCCCCTGATGGAGGAAGGTCATTGGCTAATAAAGGAACTGCCTTGGCCCATTTTATTGGTTAGAGGATAGGTGGGAGGAGTAGACAGAACAGAACGCTGGGAGGAAGAGGAAGTGAGCAGAGTCTCGACAGCTCTCCTCTCAGGAGCAGACGCCTGAGAGAGACGCCATGCCCCGCTCCCGGGATGAAGCTCCGAACCAGGATGGACATAGGCTAGAATCTTCCCGGTAAGACCGGTTCTCACAGATTATTAGAGATGGGTTGATCGGGATGTGAGAATTAGCCTGTAAGTGCTAGAGCTAAAGGGCCAAGCAGTGTTTAAAAGAATACAGTGTCCGTGTAATTATTTTGGGTAAAGCTAGCCGTAGGGGCGGCCGGGTGCTGGGGATGCAGCCCCGCCGTCCCTATTACTACAAGCCCCTTTATGATTTGCAAACTCTTTTTGACCAACAAACTGGGGACTGAGGCTCAAAAGTCTTGGGTGTGTGGTGGTGGGGATTCAAGCTATAGCAACTAACCAAAAACACTAACATGCAGCGGATCAGTGAGAGTGCTTCAGTTGTGAACACTCATCCCATGAATCATGTTCACAAACAATAAGGACATTTACTATGCTCCCAGACAAGGAAGTTCAGGGCTAGGGCAGGGCTGACTGATGTTATTAACAAAGAAACAAAAGCGAGAGGGGTCTTCTATCCTTCCGGTGTGCCATAGTGGGTCACCTGCTGCCCTTGGACAGTGGGGAAGTATACTGCTAATTCTTGACATGCAGAGAAAGAAGACACCCTTACACGAATGAGGAAGTCCTTTTAAGAACCCCACTAAGCTGGTCACATATTTATTTGGAAGCCAATTACTGGTCCCAGGATGGAATGTCCTGGATTGGCTGTGCTAGTCATATTGTTATGGAGAAGAATGAAAGCCATTGTGTCCTCCCTTAAGAGCTGATCCAGTTGGGCAGGTCCTTGACCTGCTGAAGGGACCACCCCTAGGATGGCAGACTCACTATGAGCCAGGTTAAAGAAAAAGGGGGAATAATTATTCTCTTAAGAACAGTGTCCTTTTCCTTGCCAGAATTCCCTCGCCCAGCATACCCTCTTACAGGGTCACAGACATAACTTTTCCTGTCTCTATCTCTGTTCTCAACATGCTTTCTCAAAACACTTTGAATTTCCTTACTCAAGCCCCTTACCTGCCATGTGACTGCCTGCCCCATGCAGCTGTTGTTCATACTAATTTAACTCAGGTGGCATGCCTCTCTGTCTTTCTCTCTCTCTCTCCCCTTCATTTTCCCCCTCTGCCCATGATTTTTCTTTTAAATTCAAACAAAAGCTGGGCGGTGGTGGTGCACGCCTTTAATCCCAGCACTCGGGAGGCAGAGGCAGGTGGATCTCTGGGAGTTTGAGGCCAGCCTGGTCTACAAGAGCTAGTTCCAGGACAGGCTCCAAAACCACAGAGAAACCCTGTCTCGAAAAACCAAAAAAAAAAAAAAAAAAAAAAAAAAAAAATTCAAACAAAAATTGTCCTCAAACTTCTGTTTGAGTATATTCTTAAATTATTTTATTAACTATATTAGGACCCCCAAGAGGGGACCCTGATCTCCTGCCATCATCTGCTGAGCATACAGGAAACACCACAAAACTTTACATGTGGGATAAATAGTAGAGACTCAACCATATTTAGTAAGGACTGTAACAGGGCAAGACAGTTCCTCCATCTTGTGTTTTTGATGAGGCTATAGACTCCCGGTCGGAAGCCTTCACAGCCATATGTTAATTGTGCCGTGATTTTCAGTTGATGAGAGACTTCAGTCAAACTCCAGACAGAGAATCCCCTTTCCCTCCCATGTCCTGGTAATTTTTTTCCATACTGCCTCACTTGGACACCCATTAACTACATTTCATGACTGATTAATGTGGCTTACTTCGGTTTCGAGAGCACAGCAGCCTTCTGAGACAAAAGATAAGGGACACCTGGCTCCCTCAGCACCAAGTGCACTGGCTGCCCAGCCCCC